CGTTGCCTTTTGTCTTTGAGAAGCTATTCAACTTTAAAAAAAAAAAAAAAAGTTGACAAAATAAAGAAAGAGGGAACCAGTGAAGATTTTCTAGGAGGGGACAAACTAGACATTTCTTCAAGGCAATGGCAGAAGGCAGAAAAGAAATCTGATCAATAAGAATAGAAGTAGCTTTTTTTACAAAGGAGAGATGCTACCCATGTTCATTCAGGTTAAGTAAGGTCTGCATGCAATTTAGGCAGGTCTATGACAATTCGCCACAGCCAACTCGCTGCAGGACAACTCACTGTGGGACCAAAATTACACTAATATCAAAGAAATGGTGGAATAGATTCATTAAAGAAATGATGCAAAAGGAGAGGCAGAATGAAATGTGAATGACAAAAAATAATTTTTTATTTTTATTTTAAATCATTAAATTGAATTGTAAAATTCTCATGTGGCGAGATGGCTATGGCAAGTTGGCCACAGCAAGTTGTCCCATTTGAAATTTAGGTTTATCTACATCAAGAGTTAGAGCAAAAGGCATTTTTCCTGAAGTATTGAAAATTAACGTCTGAAAAACAGAACAAAACCTTTGAATAAAGTGTTCCCCAATATTGCAGCCCAGACAATTAAATATCTGTGTAGCTGTGAAGGTGTGTCGAAGCAAGGTGAGGTCTTACCTTTTGTTTACTTATCACAGTTTCTCTGCTTTGTATAAGCTTTGTGAAAATATAAGGCTTTGTGAAGCCTTATATTTTCTTATACATTCACGAAAGGAAAAGTCAATTGAAAACCAAAATATTCCAGTACTATAAGACATCTGAGCAATCACATGTCACTGACAACACAGTCCCATTTAAAATTGTCTCCACATTAATTGAACTAAATCATTACTGCTTTACATTTCTTCTTACCCTATAATGCAGAAAATTGAGGTACAGAAAATATATAGCAAAAATAATTATCCAGATTTTAAACACTGGACGTTTAGTTATCTCTGTCTCTGTTTCCTTAGAATACAATAAAATAGAGCCATTCAGAGACAAGTACATACAGTCAATATATGATGTCATTTCATGAGGTTTCCCTTCTTCCATTCTGTTCTTAAAACTCTTATGAAAAGGTCTGGGCGCAGTAAACAAGTGAGCTGCCAAGCCTGAACACTGGACTATTTATGGGTTGCATCTGCCTGCTTCATCCAGTTCAAAGAATCTGAATTTGCTAAAAAAAAAAAAAAAAAAGTCAGTTCAAAATAAAATAGTGAATACAGACACATCAACCTCAGAGGTGGTATTCAGCAGGTTCTGACCAGTTCTGGAGAACCGGTAGGAGAAATTTTGAGTACCGGTAGTTCGAAGAACCGGTAAATACCACCTCTGACTGGTCCCGCCCCTATCTGTTCTCTGCCTCCCAAGTCCCAGCTGATCGGGAGGGAATGGGGGTTTTGCAGTAACCTTCCCCTGCCACGCCCACCAAGCCACGCCTACCAAACCACACCACATTCACAGAACCAGTAGTAAAAAAAATTGAATCCCACCACTGAACAACACGGCTTGACGCATAAGGAGGAAATTTACAGAACCAAACAAACGCAAGTCCCTAAAATGAACTCAAGGTAATTGTTACACGAAATCTTGTTTCTCTTTCCACATACATAGAAAACACACAATGAAACCCTTACAAATTTTTAGAATTCCAAGATTGTTCTATTTATTAGATAAATTGACATTCAATTTGGGGGATAAACCACATGGACATTTAAAAAAAAAAAGTGTGTGTGTGGAAGAAAAAAAACCAGCAAAACAAACAGCTGTCACCCTAAACAGGGTTTTCAAAGCTTGAAAAGAGAGCTAGATCTTTAGCCTTATGGAAGTCTAACAAAGTTGAGTCGCTCAAATCACAGAATATAGGGAAAACATTTTGCAAAAATAGGTAATGATATGATAGGTTAAGTTTTGAAATTATGCAGCATAACTTTGATGTATACATATATTTAAGCAGGTATGTAATATAAGAAAGTATGTGTAAGAAAGCATGCACAGATATGCACAGGGCAATTCAATTTAAACATGAATTGTATTCTGAAGTGTTTTAAAATTCAGCCGGTCCCATTTTATCTGGCATGATTCCCATTTTGTGGGATCTATGATGCACTTGATATAAACAAACAAATAAATGGCATCACTATTTGTGTACCAGACTTGTTCAAATTTTGAAGCAAATAATACAGGCTGGATTTTCTCTAAATCAGTAATTACTCCTCAGTGCTACTGAGATTGTCCTGAAACTTTATTCATGCTAAAGTCTATCTGATTTCAATGGCTATGGGGAAAACAAAGCACTAGTCCGTAGCTCAATGTGACTAATTTCTCAGTAATTACGTTTTGGATTGCACTGCTGGACTATATACAATTTCGTTTAATAGCTGCAGTCCCATGGCAGCAATCCGTGCACACTTAAATGAGGATATATTCCATTCAATATACCAAAACATGTATAGGATAGCTCATTATTAAGCGTGTATACGATAGTTCATCATTTCCAAAGGTAGGAAAAGTTCAATATGTATAAACATCTGAGATTATGGGAGTTATATCTTAAAACTTTTAATTGTTCTTCATGTAGACTTAAGTTTCCAGTCCCTTGCCATCTTGTTCTCCTCTAAACTTGATCCAGTTTTTGATGTCTTCTATAGACATGCATTCTAAATGGTGTCTCTCCACAAGTCAATTACTTCATGTGATTTGGCTTTTATGCTCCTATTAATATCTCCCAAAATAACATTTGGGTTTTAGCATTTGCATCACACTGCTTGCTCATGTTTAACTTGTGATTGACAAGGGCATACACATATTTCATAGGTACTACTATAACCAATCCAGATTTTCCCTATCCTGTACATAATCTTTCTTATTAACATATATAACTTTACATTCCTCACAGTTAAATTCCATTCTACTTTAGTCCAGCATTTAAGCAGGCTTAGAATCTTCTTTGAAGTATTTATTAAATTTATATGCTGTCCATCTCACTGTTGAAGTGACATTGCATGGCTTACAAAATGATAAAAGGAGATATATAGAAATAGCTAAAATTAGTAAGATTTAAATAGAGACTAAAGTATTAACTGTTCCTTCCAGTTTTCATTTCATTTCATTTGCAAATCTCATAGACTTTGCAAATCTCATAGACTTTCCCTCAAATTCCTCATATAAGTCACTGATAAAACAGTAAGGGGACTGTAATAGAACCCTGTATTTTTCTATTTGATAATGCTTTCTTAACCGATATAAAATGTTATCCGTTTTCTCTAGGTGTCATCATTCAATCAAATATGAATCCATGTAGTTCATATTTAACATTTTATTAGTGATGAGAAACCTCACCAAATATTTGCTGAGGCCAAGGTACATTCCCTTGATCTACTGAGCTAGTAACAATAGAAGACAATATATGTAGCTCAGGGTTGATTTATGATGTTTTCTAAGTTTAGTTATTTGCTTGCAGATGTTTCATTACCTGACTGGGTAACATCATCAGTGCTAGTGAGTATGGGGTTTGCTTTGCTCCCTTTTTTATACATCAGCTTGCCCTGCCCTTGTCCTTGGTAGTTCCTTGATTAAGCAACTGTCTTCTGTTTGTTTGTCTGGTGTTAAGCCAGTAACTTTTATCGGAAAGGGATACTCTGTCATGACTTGTTTGTGAGAAGCTCAAACTCTTGTTAATTGATGCATTCATATGAATTCCAAGAATAATCTTCTTGAGAACCTTGCCCATATAGATAGTAAACTGACAGATCTGTCATCTTCCATGTAACCCTCCCCCCCACCTTTGCAGATACAAACATTTGCTCTCCCTGAGTCTTTTGGGTCCTCCTATTCTCAGAAATTGAATTTAGCTATCTCTTTAGTCCCTTCAGAACCCCAGGATATATTTGATTTGGCCTGGGAGATATTATTTCAGTCAAATTAGTTAATGGTTGTCAGGCCTACAGCCATATTTTCTTGTGGATCTNGCACTGGGGGGGATCACACATTGCATTATGGGTGTGGCACGCCTGCGCACAACCCCCCTGTGCTCTCCCCACTTTTGGCACGTGAGCCAAAAAAGGTTCACCATCGCTGCCCTAGAGCCTCTAAAAAAAGCCCCATTAAGAAAGCCTGTTAATTGAAAGCCTGAATAAGACCATTACACACAGTATGTGCTATACAGTATGAGCTTTACTATTGACATAATTAGCTGCTTAGCACTTCAGCTTCTAATGAAATGATAATTTCAAAACCACTGACAAGTTTCTACCAGCTATAATTAAGACAGAAGAGATGATGTGTTAATAGCTGTGAATATGAAACACAAACTCACTCCTCAATATTAAAGAACAGCCTGGCTAGGAAATTTTAATAAATTAGGAAAACTCGTGTAATGAAAGTTTCCTATCAGCTGCAGCAACGTTTCCCTTCGGCAGGCCAATCCAGTGGAAGAGAAATACATAAAACGAGATAAAAGCACAGCTGAAGCAGCAGAAAGGGAAAACGTGCACAACTGAAACACAAGCAAAAAAAAAATCATTTTAACATGACCCTAAACCCAATTCAAAAGGCCATGATGCAAAAAGAGCATCTTGTCTCTTTGTCCAAACGTGAAGGGAGCACGAACAATGTCGCTAAGCGTGTCATTAAATTTAGCCACTTCCCAGCACTGACTGTAGTGAATACACACTAGGCGACTCTTCCTTAGAAGACCATCCATTCTATATAATCCTTTCTCTAGTACCGGTAGTTCAACCAATCCTCTTTCTTCTACCTCCAATTGGACAAGAGACGGTCACGTGCTTGAGACGCACACTCTCCCCCGCCCTTTCCTCTATCGTCGGACGCGGCTGGCTCCTGGAAGTGTAAAAAAAAAGGAAAAAAAAGCGCTCGGGAGCACGGGCTGGAGTGGGCGTGAAGCCCAGAGGAAGGAGGGGCAGAGCGAATGCAAAACAAACAAAGACGCTGCATTTTGCTTTGAGCCGCGACATCATTGAGCACGCCACGTCGGTATTTTTTTTTTCAAAAAAGCAGCAGGAGTTGCGCGCGCAAGTCGAGAACCTGAGGGAATTGTATGCTAGCTCGCTCGCTCGAGCAGCGCGCGCGCGCACGGGCGGGCTTTCCTCCATCTGGGCGGTAACGAGCGCGTGCATGGGCAGGTGCGGGCGCGCGCGGCGGTGTGCTGCTGCTGCTACTAATATCCGCCTCCCTAAAAAGCGAGGGTAGCGACGCTAAGGGCGACCGGCCTCAGGCAGGAGAGAACCTCGGTACTTTTTTTTCTTTTTGCTCGGCAGCTTTTGAAGTCAACAACTACCTAGAGCCCCCCCCTCACCGCGCCCACGGCAACGGAAAGGTAAATGCCGTGCTTCTTTCTTTCTTTCTTACAGGGAGGGAGACGGGCAAGGAAGAAGAGCCTCCTAGTTTCAAACCTCTTTTTTTTTAAGGTGAGCGAGGCTGCAACGGCCGCGGGAGCCAGCTTTGTTCGTGCCGCCGTGGAGAGGAAGGAAAGGGGAAGCGAGTGCTTCGGGGTTGGGCATTTGCTTTTCCATTTTGTGGCATTGCAGTTGGGAACGAACCCGGGACTGGCTGGCTGGCTGGCTGGGGGGGTTGAAAAAAATATTGCCCCCCTCCCCTCCTTCGGTAGTGGACCTAATAGAGAACCCCCGCAGGCAACGAAAGTACTTTGTCGGTGTAACTAATCCCTTAAAGAAGGGGGTGGGAAGCGGGGGGTGTATCGCTTCCCTTTCCCTCCTTCTTCATTCTTACCCCGTAATGGCGGCGGAACTTTAGGTGGTTCGGATGCCTTTTCTTTTTATGGATATTATAAACAGGGCTTTTGCGTTGGCTCCTTTTTGGGGGGAAGGAGAAGGTGTGTGTGTGGGAAGCCTTTTGTGTGAGGGGGTGGGGGTGTCTTTCATGGCAAGCCCGCTTGTTCAGGGAGTTGGGTGGGGGGCTCCGAAGGTTCCCTTAGGGCTACACCACTGGCCATCCCTTTGCTCAATTAAAGGGATTTTTTTGTGTGTGTAAAGCCTGCGAGACACGGGTGTTGTATTGATCCGAGGGTAAGTGGAAATGGAATAAAGTGTATTTACCCAAAATAAGAGTTTCAGTGCGAGGAGAAATGTCCCCCTTTAAATACCGTTTTTTTGGGAGGGGGACAAACGATCTGCCAAAAGCTTGTTTATGGAGAACTAGTCCAGCGTAAAAGTGGGGATTGGATGTTTAGAAGTCCTCCCACGTCAAATCTAGTTTCCACTTTTGTGTATTAGAACGTTGTAGCAGATCTGCCTCAGATTTCTTTCTTTTCTTTTAACTTCCTTAAGTATGGACAATAATATCATGTTACTTTTTGCTGCCATTAACACAGGGGAGATAATATGAACCTATGCAAGAACTTGAGGTGATGGGTAAATTCATTATGAAGTGTCAATAGGTTATATATTTGTTGCTTACCCTACTCCTTTCTGGATTTCATTGAAACATTTTCCACATTAAGCTGGCTTGATTTAAAGGCCCTGTTAGAATTAAAAAAAACATGGTTATTTATGCTGGAATTGTTCAAATTATTTTTTTATTCATATGTCATAGCTGCCTAGCTTCAAACACCTCTAAACTGGTAGAAAATATTTCTGATTTGTTAATTTGGTAGTGTCTAATTCCTGGAGATCAGATTTGAATAAATACAGTGCTTGAATTGGAAATCCTTGGTTGTGTTACTCTTATTTAAACAAAAAGTAGATCTCTATCAATCTCAATACAGATTCCTAGGGAACTCCGCCGTTTGTATTCTTTCCTTTTTTGTTGTCTAATAAATAACTAACGCCATCTCTTATTTTATGACTACTAAAGTATACACTAAAGAATGTTGTCAAGGGATGCTGGAATTTTTTTTGGAAGTCAAATACAACATTGTATCAGATTATACCTATACATTTCAAGCATGGATATCTGCCATTTATCCTTGGCAGTGAAGACAAATTATTCCTGCATTTTCTCTGCAGTCTCCTTATTCTTCTTTAGCAGTATTTGGTTTTCCAGAGGTTCAACTGTCTTTCTGGCCAGTTTCCTAATTCTGACATGTTTATTAAATAATTTGCTTTTGCTGGTTTTAGGGCTATTAATTAATATTTTTAGCTTTTACTTTTCCCCCTGAAACTCTTTTGTGCCATTTTATTTTGTCTAACTTCTGGTTGAGTCCTCCTCCTCATTATAGACACTGCAAAATACAGACTTTATCATTACTGCTTGTCTTTTGTATGTGCTGAGGCATGTTACTAATGTTACCCAGATGCTTAATGCTTCAGTAAGTTGAGAACACAAACTGCTAGACAAACGAAAGACTAGGGACTCCGCTATTCAGAAAGAAAGAAGGGATCTACTAGATGAGGTTCTAATGTTTCATTGAAGAAAAATATAGAAATAGCCAGGAAATCTGAGGTTTTGTATATTGAGTTCAATTTTGTTTTGTCAAATTTTGTTTGTTTGGGAAAGCCAGGGTATAACAGACTTGATTGAGCATATAGGACACTAATTAATATCTTGGTATATATACATAAGGTAAAGGTTCCCCTCACACATATGTGCTAGTGGGGCGGTGCTCATCTCCTTTTCAAAGCGAAAGATCCAGTGCTGTCCGAAGACGACTCTGGCCATGCGGCTGGCATGACTAAACGCTGAAGGCCCACGGAGCACTGTTACCTCCCCACCAAAGGTAGTTCCTATTTTTCTACTTGCATTTTTACATGCTTTCGAACTGCTAGATTGGCAGAAGGTGGGACAAATAACAGGAGTTCACGCCATTACGCGGTGCTAGGGATTCGAACCACTGAACTGCTGACTTTTCTGACCAAGAGCTCAGCGTCTTAGCCATTGAGCCACCACGTCCCTTATATATACATATAGGAGACTAATTAATATCTTGGTATATATACATTTTTGCAATTATATATAACCATAGAATATATAATTGATTTTTTCTTCAGAAATTACTGTTTGGAACTTCCAGAGAATGATAGAATTTATAAATATACTTTTCATGTACTAGAGTTTTATAGTTGAGTGATTGTTGTTTAGCTCAGCCAGATAATGATGGACATTGCAACTATAATAAGAGTCAGTTGCCAAATATCCAGATTTTGATCATGTGGCCAGGGGGATGCTGCTGCAACAGTCACAAGTGTGAAAAACAGTCATGTCACCTTTTTTTCAGTACCATTGTAAACTTTGAAAACTGGTCACTAAATGATCTGCCATAAATTGAAGACTAGCTGTCTGGAGGTAACATTTTCTTTCATTTATTTTGAAAGAAAATACCACCCGTATTACCATTATCTTATTCTAGTTGATCATTTCAAGTGGGTTTATAAACCAATTAAAATTGATCTGGTTCAGTGATAATGCTAAACCAAAATATGGGTGGTTGTTGAATGGGATAATACATAAATACATCTGTAGAAAGAAACTATTTTTCAGATCACTGAGAATAGGTTTGTACAGCATGCACAAACACAAATCACAGGAACATGGTAATTTCCTAAAGAATCCTGCATATTATTGGAAAATTTTATCATTATAAAATTGGCTTGTTATAAAATTGTCCATATATAGCCAACATTTTAAATTAGAACTTTTAGTTGCAGTTATTTAGTTGCAATTATTGAAAATGATCCTCTTAGAAACAAGAAATAGACAGTTATCATATTCTCCTGCTCTTAACTCCCCCAGCTGGGATATATTTCAGGCTTTTCTTGAGGCTCCGCTCAAGTGTTTTGAGGTTTTTGTTTTGCTTAAAGTCATGAAAGCAGTCAGAATGAGCACTTTAGGTTCATTATGTGCAAAGTGACAAGGTAACGTCTCCCAACATGGTAACTTTCAGATGTTTTGGGACTATGATTCAATTCAGTTTGGGAATTTGGGGAGTTATTTTCCCAATGCATCTTGAGAAATCCCAGTTGAGGTAGGTAGACCTTTCCTTTCAAGGGACATCTTAAAGAAGTTAAGTTGCTGTACCTTATCTTACAGCGTTTATTGTTGGTTGGTGCCCTGTTTTATTTTACTTGAATTAGCAATCCTTTTATATGATGCACACTTCACTGTTAACATGTAGAAATAGGCAAAATGCTTCAAGGTGAAAATATCTTGACACCCCCCCCCCAAATCCCAATGCAAATTTCTAAGATGAAACTACTTTCATTGTGATTGGACCAAGTGCTTCCAACTTTAGGACATTTCCAATGAAGACAAAATAGGACTTCTGGAATTTAGTACAAAGCTTCCTTAATCTTCCAAAGTTTTTCTTTATAAATTAAAAAAAGTCTTACTGTATAGAAGTTCATTTTTATGGTAGGACTAAAGTGACTTATGGCATCTTCCTGTTTCTTCCCCATGTTTAAAACTAGTAGACTCCAGAGGAAATTTATTTTCTGTTATTTTTGGTAGAGATAATGTTTGCCACCTCAGCATTCTTGTACAAGTTTATATTATAGTCTGGTGTTGGGGGGAAAGTGCTGAAATTGTATAGGATTAGAATGAGAGTTTAGTAATTTTAAATGTTATGTAGGGGTGGAAAGACAAGAGCATTTCGTTATCCAAGATTGCCAATCGCTAACAACCTATGATCTAAAATTCTGAAGAAGTCTCCAGATTTGTATTATGCCATTTCTAGATTGTTTGTATCCCAATCAGGAAGATGTCAAGACTGAGTAATTGCTGGATGGAAACCTGAAAAAAGAATAGAAATAGAAATATGATTCTTTATTGGCCAATTGTGGTTGAACACACAAAAATTATCTCCAATGCATAAGCTCATAGTGTACCTATAAAAAACTAGTGAATAGGTCATAATCATAGTTGCAATCATTAATCAACATTAATCCAAACAACAACTGATAAATCATAAGAAACAAATAGGAGACAATAGTGGGAAAGATGGGAAATGAGACTGCTGTGGGAATTAAGTGTTCAGCAGTGATGGCATGGGCAAAAAACCCTACCTTTATATGTCTAGTTATTTTGACATGCAATGCACTGTAGCGGTGTCCTGAGGGGAGAAGTTGAAACAGTTTATGTCCAGGATGTGAGGGATCTGTAGATACTTTCTCAGACCTCATTCTGGTTCGTGCAGTATACAGATCCTCAATGGAAGGCTAGTTGCAATTGAGGTGGTTGTTTTGGGGTGTTGTTTTTTTTTGCAGTCCTACCTATCCTTTGAAATCTGTACCTGTCTTATTTGGTTGCTATGACACACCATATTGAGGTAGAAATAACAGATTCAATAATTACTCTGTAGAACTGTATCCGCAGATCCTTGGGCAATCTGAGCTTTCTGAGTTGATACAGAAAGAAGATTCTCTGTGGTGCCTTTTTAATGATGATTCTAATGTTAGGTGTCCATTTCAAGTCCTTGGAGTTTAAAGAACCTAGAAACCTGAAGGTTACATTAACTCAAAATGTTGCATGACTATTTCAGCCTTGTTTTGTGGATGTCGTTTTTTTAAGCTCTTGTAATTTAGATGGTGCTTAATTTAGATGGTGCTTGTTTTTCCTCTTCAGTGTGCCAATTCTGATTACATCATTAATGAGTTGTGAGTATGTATCTTGTTAAACTTTTAAGTTTGGACATGGAACAGACTTGGCTGTTCATCCCATACACAAAAAGGCAGTATGTGCCTTCAGGTTTGCTGAATAGCATTATGGTTGTAAACACAGGGCAAAATGTAGCCATGGCAACATTTGTGTGGGGGTTTTTAAATGTGGAAGAATGCAGGTATCTCTTAGTTATTGCTCATCATTTTTATCTCTCAACAAAGAAATTTGCATTTAAAGCAACATAAACTTTTGAGCAAGAATGAAATATGCTCTTTCTTGTTTAAAAGTCAGGCAGAATTAGGATTTGGATTGTATAAAAAAGGATTTCTTTATATTGAACAAAGTATTAAAATAAGATATTTCTATAGCATGAGATACAAGAATAGAGTTCCCTTGATGTGTTTAATTTATTTCATGAATGCATTTCTGTGCATAAAATATTACTGTTATGTTGTTAATGTTCTGAGCTATTCAAGGTTAAGTGATACAGGAGAGAAGCAAAAATAGCTCTCCATATCTTATTTAGATATATTGAAGAGCACAAAATAAAAATTAAAAAATTGAAGTACCTCTTCCACAAAATTAAGTAACTAATCATTATATAAATAGCAATCACATGATTTAAATTGAATGGTTTGGGACCAGCAGCATGACCTAAATTTTATACTCTTCTTCAAATGGATGACTTTAATAAATGCATTTATATATATTTTTGACTGTGAACTCTTGCTAATGCAAGTTGTATTGCTTTGGAGATAATGGTCACAATAAACTATTAGCTGCATACATAAATTAATACGTATTCTCTAATTAAGTAAGAATTAGTGTGTTGTGACCTCAGGTAGGAAAATTGTTAATTCATGCTTATGCAGGTAATCCTCGCTTATCAACCACTTAATTCAATGACCATTCAAAGTTACAGTGGTGTTAAAAAAGGAGACTTATGGGTGGTCCTCAAAGTTGCAGCTGTGGTAGCTTCCCCACAATCATGTAATTGCAATTTGAGCACTTGGAAACTGACACACATTTACAACAATTATAATGTCCCACAGTTGCATTATCACCATTTGCAACCTTGGCAATCTGCTTCCAAAAAACAAAATCAATGCAAGCTAGCATCAAGCCACAAGTTGCAGTCACTTGATGTGGCACTTAACCTGGGATGATTCGCTTAACAATCACAGCCAGAACTGATGTAAGTTGTGTACAGACACATAACTTTTCATTGTACATTTGCTTCATTTAGCAATGGAGTTTCCTGTCCCAACTGTGCTAAGTAAATGGGCAGTACCTGTAATGCTTGGTCACTGGTAAAACTAGAGCAATGGTAAGCTAAGTAGTTAGCAAAATCTCAAGATTAAACTGCTTGTACTGGTCACTGGATACCTTCTTTGGATTGATTAGTCAGCTGTTTTTGCTCATTTGCTGATTCTTATACCTCCTCAGAACTCCTGGTAGCCTGTTGTTCATATTTCCTCTTTGTTTTCAAGTAATCTGCATAAACCAGAGAGTGCAAAATTTGGCTTGAAAAACTTCTTTAAAAAAACAAAAATCTAAGATCATGGCATCCGGTCACTTCCTGGCAAATAAAAGGGAAAGAAATGGAAGCAGTAACAGATTTAATTTTCTTGGGCTCCAAGATCACTGTAGACGGTGACTGCAGCCATGAAATTACAGGTAGTCCTTAACTTACAACAGCTCAGTTAGTGACCATTCAAAGTTACAGTGGCACTGGAAAAAAGTCATATGACTGTTTTTCACACTTATGGCTCTTACAACATCCCCATTGCTTACATGATCAAAATTCAGATGCTTGGCAACCGATTAATATTTATGACATTTGCAGTATCCTGTGGTCATGACTTTTGCGGCCTTCTGACAAGCGAAGTCAATGGAAAAGCCAGATTCACTTAACAACCAAGCTACTGTAGTGATTCACTTAACAATTGTGGCAAGAAAAGTCACAAAATGGGGCAACATTCCCTTAACAACTCTCTTGCTTAGCAACAGAAATGTTGGGCTTGATTGTGTTAGTAAAGTTGAGCACTACGCAATGAACATGAAATTGGGCCAACTCCAGGAGACAGTGGAGGAGACTGGTGTGCTATGTAGTCCATGGGTCATGAAGAGTTGGACATGACGTAGGGACTGAACAACATTGAATATGAACTGAAATATCCCTGCTCTTTTCTGACTGCAGTGAAAATTGAGAAGGAAGGAGCAAGGAGAGATTTATTCTTCTGCTAATAGGAAAGGTTTTGATTTCCATAATCATGTCTTAAAATTTAATGTCTCAGCAGAATTGCTGAATATAAGATAAACTCTGAATCATTATGGTGCATATAATTGAGCCATCTAAAATATTATAATCCATTTGGCTTTCATCCTTTTATCAGATATATAGTGTGAGAAAATAGAATTCACATGTTTAGTTTTGCAGTTTCTGATTTCATGTTAGCAGTTGAATCCGTCTTAGAAATGGAGTACTAGAAGGCTTTTACAAAAACATTCTGTCTCTGTATAGATCAGTGGATCAGACTCTGTTCTTAAAGAATGACCGCTTTCAATTGCAGTCTAGCTGGGTAAATTGTGGATTGCCAGCTGCATGGCAAGTAAAAGAAGAAAGATTGTATCTGCTTGCTTGATTAGAGTCAGTGATAAAGTAGAATTTTAGGAAAGGTCTGAGCAAATCTGCAGAGGGAATCAAATTTCAAAGCCATTAAATATTTTATATCCATACATACATCTTGTATGATATGGATTGAAAACGATATCGTGGTTATTTCATTATTTAATTAAACATAGAAGCCATTCTATTCCAGATAAGCGCATTCAATTTATACTTTAAAAAATAAAGAAAAGG